ACATAATGTTGCAGCGTGCAATCAGCCCAACTGAGCTCACCATTGCCGAGGGGCTATTGTTGGAGTTTCATGTGCGTGCAGAACTGCTGTTTGGCAAGTCAGTCATGACATTCAACATGCACCAACTGACTCATATAGCAAAGAGTGTGCGCCACTGGGGACCACTTTGGGCACACAGTGCGTTCCCATTTGAAGCTGGGAACGGCAGCCTAAAAAAAGCTGTAAAAGCAGCTAACGGAATTCCCCATCAAGTCTGCCGAGTCCTACAGATGGAAAGCATGGTAGTAGAACTTCAACGGCAGGCTATCAGTCCAAGTGTAGCAGAGTACTGCTCGTCTTTTGATGGCACAAAAACGCAAAAAAGCGTACTTAGTAGTGGTGGCTACCGTTTTTTCGGACACGGTTCCCGACGTGCATCAGCAGGTTTGCAGCCATCTTTACATGACACTACCCTTGAGTTCACCAAATACAGAAGAATGTTGGCGAAGGGATCAATTATCACTGATAGCATGTATGCATCTAACAAGAGGACCAATAGCTCTGTTGTTGAACTTCAAAATGGGCATTTTGTTATTGTTGAAGAAATATACCATGGCAGCGACAACAAAGCATATATATCTGCAAGGAAATTAAGCTGCAGTCCAGTGATGTACAACTTGGTGGCCATGTCACATGTGCTGAAAGTAAATCACAAGGCAGCGAATACATCACTGGTCGAATGCTCTGAAATCAGAAAGGTGGTTGTGTTTGTGGAACTCGAAAGAGCTTCCTATGTATGCTTCCCTCCAAGTTCCTTTACATTGTAATGTATTTGAAGTGAAGAACCTATGCTGTGTAAGTTTTAAAGGAACCCTGTTTAGTGCACACTATGCCTCAAAACATGAGCGTTTTTTTTATGTGAGTGGCCCTTGAAATGCCTTGAGGCGATCGACGTGAAATCGCCACCCGTGACTAGTTAGCTCTTCTAGTAGGCAAGATGTTTGTCATGATGACTCATACCATTGAAACAATTCCGTTTGAGTATATATAATGTATATAGTTCATCAAAAAGTATATAGTGAATCCAAATGTAAATTAATAAACATTGAGTATGTTATGTATATATAACATTGCCACGTCTATATATGGTAATAGAAGATTTGTACGGAGGATTCGCGGGTGACCTGATCATCTCCAAGCAAGCTCACCTAACATCATTCACTTTCTGGATATGGTGATGATTTTTTGTTTCACGATTATGTTTCAATGCATGGTGACAACATGGTGTACCTCATAAAAATTGTTCTTTAGAGCAGTCATGCCTGTGTAGCTCATGAACATACCAAGAAAATGTTTTTAAATGTGCAGTGAAAATGGTTATGTGTGGGCCCGCACATGAGAGCCTCCCGGCTGCATATTTGAGACCACTGATATAGAGGGATTTATCGTGCTGTGCAGATTAAATTGATTGACCACATGGCTGTGACAAATTGTGAAATATCTGTCTGTAAGCCAGCTTGCTCTCTAGGTTTGATTGTTTTTGGAAATATTTTTTTTTCGTTAAAGTCTAGTGTTTTGCATATTGTATTAGGTATCTGAATATTACCGAAAAGAGATCGGTGGGTCTGAATTTCTTTAAATTTATTATGTCTCTTTTTGTGTGTATTAATGTTTTATATTTGCATTGTGTACTGAATGTTTTCCTATATTTATTCAGTGGGTGCTGTATTTTTTTATTCTTACTGCTATTGTATTCTTTATTTTAGTGTGTGTGTCGGGGTACTGCAATATTACATGACGCTTTTTATTCTTTTTCATACAAGTTCAGTCTTGTACACTATGCATAGAATGTGTGCTTGTCATTCATACATAATTCATTGTGCCACTGTGAGCATCCTTAAAGGCCAACTCCAGCGATTTTTCGACCATGTCAAGGTAATGGTGTTTCTGTGTTCCTGAGACACTCTTGTCACGAGCCCAATAGCTGAAATGCTCAGGAAATTCGAAAACAATTTTAATAAGCAAAAGGTGCAAAACCGAAACCCGACCGGGCGCCCGGTCTGCATATGATGTACTATTTGTTAAGAACTGGAGGCCGTATACTGGTTCTGCCGGCACGTAGTATGAAAACTGTGAAAGCCAGACCAGCGAAGCACCGGCAAAACACCACAGAGGAAGGAAGAAAGCTCTCCCGTGCTATGGTCGTGCCAAACACCACCGCTGTCGTCTTGGGGCCAGCACAATAAACAATGTAGGGGCCAAAGTAGCGATGCCATCGCCTGCGTCACTTTCGTTGACATGACAAACTTGACATCGCACTGACAGTGTTGCCAATAATTCTGGCAAGCGAGGCGAGTTTTTCGAGGCAATCTTTAAAATTCATTTGCAAATAATCTGCGCATCTCTCAAGCCTGTAATTGGCATAAATGACAGGAATGTGCGTAAGAGTGTACCCAGCGAATTTGATTGAGATTCGTTGACCTCGAAAAACCACCGGAGTTGACCTTTAAGCATCCTTAAATAAGTAAAGACATGCTGTTCACGTGTAAACTGTTAACCTGTATGAAACCTGTTTCTCAGTGCTTTACTGAAATGCCAGTTGTATGGCAATGCCTTTTTCCTCCTTTGGAACTAAAATTCCTTTTATTGTGATTCAATTTACTGTTATAAGTATTTGTAATATTTGAAGTATCTTGTACGCCTTGTGTTGCAGCACTGGCCAAGAAATTTTTTTACACCAAAATATGTTCTGTGCTATTTAAATCCTGTTTGCCTTGAAATAAAATTCTTTTTTTTCAATGTTATTGTTGCCTTTCATACCTTCTTTCGGATATCTTGTTAGTGAGAACATCTAATTGTTTTCTCTTAGTTGCATAACCTTTTCTATCGTATGAATATTAAAAAAATTCAGTCATATCCTGCAGCAGCATTATATGCAGTGACAGGTAGCCCATAAACACGTGACATCAGGTGCTCACTGGTAGTTAGCCATATTCCCTAGTTTGGGAATAAGACATCGTTGGTACATTGTGATGCTGCAAACAGTAGAAGGTGCGGTTCCAATGTGTACTAGTACTTTAACTGCTGCATTTTCATGATGCATATATGGAAAGCTTAATCAGATGCCCTGATACAGTGGTTGTTTGTAAACCAGGCAAGTGTTGTAAACAAGCTTAATTTAATCCAAGGTTTAAGTAAGTGACCGAGCTCAGGGATTCCAAGCTGAAGCACTAGCTCGAATTCTGTTTGGGTAACACACATAAATGAATTGCTTTATATGGAGGGTTGGATGCATCACCGTAGATTTCCATTTATGACTTTCAATACTGCTCAGGTAGAGAATTGTAAAAAATAAACTTCAAAGTTATGCATGTACTGCAATTGGGGTGTCCTATTGGACTCTCCCATTGCAGCTTGGGTCCCATTGACGTCCATTTGAGTCCCATTGCAACCAACTGGAACCACCTATCATGACAGCAGGTCATCCTGTTAGAACTTCAAATATGCAGAGTTGGTTAAAATGTTAGAAGCCACTACATGGGAAGTCCAATTGGACAGTCCCATTGCAGCATGCACTTCCAATTGGGCACCAGTTAGACACCATTTGAACCCCACTTAGCCCCCTTTGCCACCCATTGCTCCTAACTGGAACATCCAGTTGGACCCATTAACTATTTTTGACTGGGTTGGTGAGAAGTTGTGGCTGTAGTTACGGCATATGAAGCGGATGGCCTTACGTTGAACGTTATCGGGGATTTTTAGGTCACCTTGTTTGTGAGGGTACCAAACGACAGATGCGTATCCTAGAATAGGGCGAATCAATGTTTTATACAGAAGTAATTTGGTATCACTGGGGGATTTAGCCAAAGTGCGGCGCAAATAAGCTATCTTTATTAGAGCTTTCGCGTTAATATATTCAATGTGGTTGGTCCAGGAAAGATTTTTTGTCAGAATCACACCCAAATATTTACATTGTGAGACTCTTTTAAGTTGTATGCCATCCAAGTAATAATCAAACGAAAACGGATTCTGTGCATTGGTAAATCACTTGACGACTGTTTTAATGCAATTGACATTCGTATGCTATGTTTCACGCCAAGAGCTGAAAGAAATGAGTGATTGTGAAAGATGATGATGATCTTCCGCAGAATTAATGAGTTCGTATAGTACGCAATCGGCATAAAGTCTTATTTTAGACTTCCAAGACAAGTGGCATGTGCACGGTGCCTGTCGTTGTGTGTTCCTTTACTTTGTGTGTTGTGTTATTTGCGGCCAAAGCATGTCATTAAGAGTACCAACTAGGCCAACAATTGTCATCGTACGCGCTTATTCTATGCCACGGAGGAAGGAAAGGTTCCTCCGTGTTCTATGCCTATCAAAGCAATGCGCGATGCAGCGGATGCCATGACGACATCTATCTCGCACATCACGAAGGAATCTCTTCGTGTCATATATGACGTAAGCGTAACCTGTGTTTCGAATGACATACTGCCATTCTGGTGATTTTGTGACCTGTCAATCCTTGTTGGGCTTGCGCTCATGTGGCTTATGCCATGCTAACAGCGGCTGAACCAAGTGAACGGAACGATGCACCAATACAAGACGGCAAGATAAGCGCGTGGATGAATAATTCATCGACAGATTGATATATATGAATGCATAGATGATTGAGTGACAGACAGGTCAATATGTACAGCTTTTCAATCGTACTGTAATCATACAATTGAGCTGCTGTGATGAATATAGATAGATAGCTGGCAGGCGTAGACATGTGATTATCTCTATGTGTGCAGTAAAAGTGACTTTGCTTCGCGAAGAAATGGTTGAATGTAATAATAAGCGCGTGCAAGCGGCACATGCTCAATGGACTGCGCGCCATCGTAAGGAATAGGTCGGGATGAAGAATGCACGTCTTTAGCAGCATGATCAGTTAGTTCTCGCACTATAGTAATGCTAGTTTCGCTTCAGCAAGTGGATTTGGCCGACGCGCGAGCCGAAGCTGGCCGAAGCAAGCATGGTTAATAGCCAATAAAAACTATTCTAAATGGCCGCCGTAGCCGATCGCTGCTGTTGCAAGATACTCAAAGAGTAACGTCAGTGAGTTGCCGTATTTTTCCTGCAAGACTTTGAAAAGCTGTATGTTCGAGTTCATAGATGAGAGTAAAGCTTATTACGTTTGCATACTTTTACTTAGACGCTGCAGTGCCGTTGTTCAGCGTACCAGTTACAGGACAGCGTGGTTGCACATAAGTTAGAACTTCGCATGTGGCACTCATTTCAGTTGTGTATTATTGGCAGTTCTGACAACGTGTTTGTACGGCGTATTCGAAGTAACTTTGGTGAAGTTATGGCTATCTTTAAGTCCACAAATGGATATTCGCTTGCTCTAGACGTTGCTTTAGCGAACTTAATACAGCATAGGCGAACTCGAAAATGCAGTTGACATATGGTCGCCTTGTGATTTTAGAAACCTGTCTTCGTTTCTAGGCTTCCGCGTTTTGTGACACTTTTTTTTTCATGTAAAGCTGGGTTGCGGTTGCTTTGCGTTGTATTGTCTCGCAGTTTGTGTGTCGTTCATGGCATGGTACTTCTTTGACAGTCCAGCTTCATCATCACAAGTCGGGGTTATCTTTCCCCTCAGCAGTCATGGACACATCGGTAAACTAGCGTTCATACGCTTTCGTGTTTGCCATTTGAATGCTCGGCGCATGAAATCACCCATTTATACTTGCTGCGCTGTGTTTCTGTTTGCACTAACAAACTATGCAAGCCATATAACTGCGGCTTTGCGTGTTGGCATGCCTATTAGATGTCGTAAGAACGAATTTACTATTTTGTGTGATAATGTTTTTTTTTATGATTTCAGCACTTCATTTTTCAATTTTACTTGATCCACTTGTACAGGCACACCCTCTAGAACTTGCCTAAGTATAATATTCTGGCTTGACCTATGCCATTTGTGTTGTTGCGTAATATAATGTTTCAAGTCGGAGGCGTTGAAAATATAACTGTTCAATGACCAGTTCAATAGCGCTTTTGGCCAACAATTGGCATTAATAATATCATCAACTGTGAAGTAGGCTATACCCCAAATGACTATGCCACAAGAAATCTATCGCAACTATGTGTAAGGTGAATTCTGGCATGTCATTGTCTTGTAACTTCTGCATGGTTCATTGCATGATCACAGGTGCAGGTAGACCAATGCCTGTTACCCCAGTGTCTATGAAATGCCCTAAAGTGTTTCAGGCATTCTCCAAACACAGCCCTTGGTTATACATTATTATTATTCTTTTTGCACGCTCAAATTTCACATGCTTCCCTGTTTCACACAAAAAATCCACCCTTTGCTGCAGCTTTCCGGAACAAAGCAAAAGAAAAAAAAGAAGCCAGCTCGCAAGGAGTCTCACCCAGAGTCAAAAGATAGCTTGCAGGCCAACAAAAGCCAACCTGGCTTACAGCAGGCCAAAGTGCAGCCGATACAGATTACTGTAACCAAAAAGCAGAGCACGGAAGGAAACGAGAACAGTACACATCCAATTGCTAAAGTGGTGCTCAGCAAAGTGCTGCCGCAGCAACCGGCCCACAATCCACCACAAGAAGTGCAGCTTGCTGAGGGAGCAGTAGGTCAGAAAAAGAAGAAGAAGAAGAAAAAGAAGAAGCCAAAGCAGCAGCTCGAGCATCAGGCGGTGGAATCGGTGCCAGACAAGCCCGTCGAAACGCACGAATCTGGCTGTTGTAAGCTCAGAAATCTCAAGGAAATCACTTGTTTTGAGCTGATCTGCCCTCACTCTATCAAGCCAGCAGGCAAACCGCTTTCGTCCGAAGGCCCGAATGCAGAAGCGGCAGCATCACCTTCTCCAAAGCCTTCCCAGCCTGCAACCGCCACCAACGTTCTCACCCAGAATCACCTGGACAGCTTGTCCGACGCCATTGTGAAGAGCCTGGCATCGCTGGACAAGAGCTCCATCAGCATCACCTTAGTGAACCCCAAGGACGAGTCCACCGTCGGCGAGAAAATCGTCCGCGCCCTCCAGGAGCCTTCGCCCAGCCCCAATCGTGAGATAGTGGTCGACATATGCGGTACGAGTGTGATTGACTTTGGAAAGAAGGACAGCGGTGTAAGCTGTAGTGTTGTGTCGCAGAACTCTGGTGGCAAAATGCCGTCGGGAGAAGGCGTTGGCTCGAAGAAGTCTGGTAAGAAGAACAAGGACAACATTGTCACGGTGAAAGCTGTGAACAATCACGTTGTGATAAGTGGTGACAAGCATCCCCAGAAAGTGGACGAAAAGGCAGCAAAGGTCATTCAGAAACAAGCAGATGTCAAGCTTGGCGGAGTGCCTTTGGCGCAACCAAAAAAAGAGATCGATAGCGCAGCGCCCAGAAACGCCTTAACGAACGACACAGCACAGGGTGGGGCTGGAGAGAAAACGAAAGCGCAGCTCAAGGCAGAAAGAAAAGCAGCTTTTGTAAGTTTTGTGCCTTCAATATTTTCTTCTGATAGAATGGTATTTGAAAGTTATGTGCACTTTGATTACGTATGTGCTTCCTTTATTTGGGTTATTCAGTTTTCACACCTTAATGAGTGTGCATATAAAAACCACTTACTGTTCTGAATGAAACATATGGGCAAGTGTCATTCCCACTACTGCAGCTTGTGTACATGTGTAAACATATTAACAGCCACCACTTTTTTTTTTAATGTATTGGACCATGGACATTTTTAACCTGCCAGAGTTTTTCATGTGAAGCGCCTATGGTATGGCTGAGATCACCTCATTAATGTTTCTTCTTTTTATGTTGCCCCAAGGAAGCTGAAAATGCTGCCAGGCTAGCTGCTCAAAAAAGTGAAGGTGAGTTTTTTATTTATGCGTCGAAATATAAAAGAAAATGATGAGGAGCCTTCTGATTAGCAGGGATTGAACAGCCTTAGTCTGGACAATTTTTGTTACTGTGTGCTGTTACTGTCGCTTTTTGCATTGTGCTTTCCATATTTGCATGAGTTCGTGAAGTTCTCTGTATGCGGGTTTGTGTTTGCATGTGTCTTCACTGTGCGGGGGCAGCAACGGTTGTTTAGTAATAAGATAAGCTAAATAGCCAATCACAGAACACTGTGTGCAGTGCTGAAGGAAAATGTTCCCAGGTATTGCACAATGTCGAGCACTTGTGTGAATGGCCACTAGAAAGTGCTAGGTGGATGCATTGTATGCAGTATAGTTGGCATAGAAAACAAAATACATTAAGAAAATGTTTAAAAAAACAGTAGAGGACTGTGGAAGAGAGAGGGAAAGTGCCTTCAATAAGGGTTTTAGCAGAATGTGGTCACTAAAGATGTTGAATCCTATCTCCATATTAAATTGTACACTTTCTTTACTTTTACATGACATAACTTACATAACTGTGTGCCTCAAGTGCAGAATATACATTTGAAAGCTTAAGATACAGACCCATCTGAATTTATTAGTGGGGGAGTGTGTATATTCAAAATTAAAAAAAAAATTCAATTGTGTCTGCTATTTGATTACATTCACTTCGAAATTTTACTATTCAAACTATTCGAACATCCAATGTTTGCTATTTGACCACATTCACTTTGAAATTTTACTATTCAAACTATTTGAACATCCAAAGACGGAAAAGATACAGATAATGTCTAATCAACAGTGACCCCTTCAGATTTTTAGTATGCTTCACCTTATTACACTTTTGTACTGCAGCAAAGCTTCCTTTCAAGTTCTGTTGTAAGTGTATTGACTTAAGAAAATGCTTGTTTCAGTATGGAGATGATAGATGTGGCAGAAGTGGAAGCTCAATTAATGCTGTTTCTATAACTTGAAATTTGGGCAGGATGTTAAAAAAAATCGGACACTGAAAATTTGGAGCATCAAATATTTCAGATGTTCACTGGCAGATTTTGCACTCCAGGCTTGAAGGGAGCACAGTCCATGTCTACCACATCATTTGGTCTTCCACAAAAGCTGAAAGAAAAGAAGAGGCTGAGGAAATACCATATTTGCCTTTCCCATGTAAAGTGTTGTTGGCAACGATTAGGTTTCACCAAATTATGTTCATAAATGCAATTAGTCCTCTGCATAGCTTAATTTTTGATAAGATGACTATGAAACGTCACCCAGCCAGCACTTCATCAGTGTAGCAAAAACAAAACAAAAATATACTTTCAATGGTTTCATGTTGCAAGAATATGCTTCAGAATCGTCTCGAACTTTCGTTCTGCAATTTTGATTTGAAGTATTTAAAATATATCCTAGAAATATTTGAGAAATATTTGAAACGAATATTTGATTTGAAATCAGACTTCAATATTGTAATTTACTTAACACCCAAAATTTTGCTATTTGCACAGCTCTACTTATAAGGCGTAAAAATTGTTGGGAACAAACAAAATGATGTTGGAGTGATGCTTGATTTGTATGATGGCTGCATTTTCAAAAACAGCAACTGCAACTTATGAGCTGTGCATATGACTTGCATGGTTGATTTACGTAACCTGCTTCTTGTTTGAATAAGAGATTACCATTTCAAAAGATGAGTTGCTAGCCACAGGTAGTTTTCTGCGGGTCCCAGAAACATTTCTCTGCAGCGTTTCTCTCATGCGAATGACGTGCGTTCCTTCAGGAAATGCCGTTGGTGAGAAAAGCAAGGCGGAGCTCAAAGCGCAGAGGCGAGCATTGCAAGAAGCCCAGCGGGCAGCAAAGGCGGCCGAAAAGCCCAGCAAGGCAGCAGAGCAGGCACCCACGACTGCCAAGCAGGTTGCAGCTGCGGGTGCTTCGCACCACCCAGTTTCCAAGAAAGCAGATGGCGAAGGCAAACAGGAACCAGCACCTCACTCACAGGGTAATTTCTCTCATCTTGTAGCTCAAATGCCTCAGATGCCTGATCGAATGTAAAAATTGACCCTCAGCATCGGCATCAACACGAGTGATGCAAGAAATTGTCACGTGAGGACGTGAACATATGAGTTCACAGATAACCAATATTTGTACAGCCATCGTGTCACTTTGATGTCGTATACAAGGACATGAAATGATGGTGTAACTAATATTTGTACGGCCATCGTGTCACTTTGATGTCGTATACAAGGACATCAAATGATGGTGTCATTACATGACATTGTCAGTCTGACAACGAAGGCAGTGCGAAGCCATATTAGGTGTGGAAAGCTTTTAGAGGAGGGTGGGAGAGGCTACGATAACAAGATGGCTACATCGACTGCGAAAAGAAGATGGCTCTTGCCTTCAAGGCGTCTTAGGTAAATGTATAAGCAACATGGGAGTTTTATGGCGGCGATGGTCATGAAATGGCCTAGTCCCTCTGCAGATTTCGGTTTACGAGTATAGATAGATGAATGAATGCTAACCATTCCTTTTGTTACGGGGTTGTGATCTGTGAGTCGTCAAGCTCGATTTTTAATTCAGCCTAATGCCTCAATGCTGGAAGCTGTCTGGTGCCATCCAGACAGCATTTTTTCAATATAAATTTTTCCAGTCAGTTTGTTATTGGAGGAGTTAGATGAAATTGAGCTGTCCCATTAACCATCTGCCTAGGAAAGAAACACGCCTGTTTACACAGACGTCCTCTCTGTTTGGCTCAGTTAGCATCAGCTAGGTGGGTACCTTCGCTATATTCCTTCTGGTGCCTAAGCTAAGAGGGCATGTCAATCCTGTGATTAGTCTTGCCTCTTTCCTATTGTAGTTGGGTCTGCAGAGAAGCCCTTTGAACTGCAGCCGTTGGATAGTGAGCTGACCGTATAAAAGTAGTACGGACATAATCCAATGGGGCCGACTGCAGTTTAGCATTTCACATATTAGAATACTTGCATGGGTCTTCATCGGAATAAGTGAGTTGTATTCTTGGCTTGGCTTTCACAAGAGAGATAGAGGGAGAGAGAGAGATTAAATAGAGAGGAAAGGCACGGAGGTTAATCAAGCTTGGCTCGGTTGGCTTTCACAAAATTTTCTCTGTGCTCTGTACTGTGATAAAGGTGACAGAGCAGCTTGAAGATCTCCTTAGTTATACGATGCTCACGTGGACTGAGGGGGAAACAGAGCAAGAACGGAACGAAGAAAGAAGCGACCACACAATGTGAGCGCTGACGAACTACTGTGTGCCAGTCATTCTGAAAAATACACCGAAAAATATATAGCTGAAAAAAGAAGCAAGACTAAAACCATCACATGCACATAAAGATGAAATGCAAGATGAATCTGCCACAAGCCGAAATGGTCCTAGTGAACAGCTCGAAAACATATCTCTTTTTCGAGGATGGTGAGGGGGGCTCACTGACACACATGATTCCTTTCTTCTTAATTTCTTAATGTAGAAGGCTTCGATGCTTTCACGCTCGATCTTGTGACGGTATCGTGAAAGCACCTCGCAATTATGAAAGATGGGGACGCAGCTGAACAAGGAACAATGGGCTCCTAAGATAGAAGTCGGTCTGTCCTATAAAAAGTGCATCTGTATGGCAACAAAATGTCGCAAACAACATTGTTGACGCACTGCACGTACTGCGTCCTGTGCTTTTTGATACATGCATGCTCATTGGGGTTTTCAGCATTTACTTGTTTGCATAGGCGGCCGAGCCTATGGGGAAACGAGAAAAACAAGCCTTACGCCTGCTTTGCTCTTTTTGAGCTTATGCTCCAGAGTGTGTGGGCCATAACTAAGCAGGCTTAGTCGACTTTTTACCATTTTATGGTGTCAAAGTATAATGACCCTGCAAAACATATTTCATTTTTCAGAGGCTCCCGCAAAGAAAGCCGTTCGAAAGCCAGCAACCGAAGACAAGCAGCATGAAGTTTTGCGGCTGTTCTCTCATCTGCATCAAAACCCTGGAACAGTGGACCACCTGAAGCCTTATGGGTATGCTGCCCCTCCTCTCTTAGCGGTTAAAGAAAACTAGCTGTTACACGATAAAGCTTTCAATTTAGCATTGATGCGACTCTCAAGCATCGAAATGCAGACTATTCAGAATAACTATTCACTTCCACGAAAACGGTTTTGCCTCTCTCTGCACTTTCCTTCGGACTGTTGTGTAAAACAGTGAAGCCTGTCCACCTTTCAGTAGCTTCAGAGCGTACTTTTCTGAAAATACGCTCAAAACCTTATTATGATGAAGTTGCACCTTACGTGAAAATAAGTATATTACAGTTGAACCTCTGTATAACGAATTCCTCTATATATTAAAGTTTTTCTATTTCCCTCCGTTACTCCATAAAAGCGCATGGGTTTGCGTCCTCTATGTAACAAAGTAACAGCTGGATACATTCTTGATAAAGCGAATGTTTGCTTAGATAATCTAGAAAAGTTGCCCCGGTTTTCATCATCAAAGTTTACGGTTGCTACTCGATCGACACACCCCCCTCCCCCCCGCGCGTTTTTTGTGCTCGTTCAAGACAAGTGGTTTTCCTTCTATTTGAGCATTTGGCAGCAGTTACAAAGATCTAACACGAGTGGGGGTATCATATGCACCCTCTAGGCGATAAAGATGAGCCGGCTCATTTGATCGTTGCTTCAACAGCGCTCGCGCGCTTGTACCCGCTTGTAAAATTTATGATGCGTGGGAGTATGTTATCAATTTGGACTTGTTATGGAACATGGTGGCGACGGCAGAAATTTGCCGAGAGTGTCCATATAACTGCTGTTTCAATAACAACTGTTTTTTACCACTAATCAAGTGTTTTGAGTTAGCTCCGCCTTCAGTTCCTTCGCTTTTTGTTTAATTTGTGCATTTATTTTTTGAATTTTCGTACCAAACATGCACATAACGAGCAACTCTTTATGAAGAATTTTTCTGGGACTATGTCAACTTAGTTATATATATAGGTTTTACTGTATATCAGGAAAATTGTTGTAAAGGTATATTTCTGACAATTTATCTATTGCAAGGCTATACTTCATTTACTTTGTTATAACTGATATTTCATTGTTCATGAAATAGAAGTTTTAGTGTAGTTAAGTGATAATTACTGCATTACTTCATGTTTGCTAAACTGGTTGTACTCGATAGTACATCCTGTTCAAGCAATATTTCCAGTAGTGCAAAGATGTTAATGGTCTTAAGTCATGAATAACAGTCTTTAAATAATATTTAAGCAGTTGACATAGGTGGCTGGTTTTTTGTAGTGCTACAGTAGAATATCTTTAAACAATACCTCGAGGAACCGGGAAACTATGTTCTATTTAACAATAGTTTGATAAACTGAGAGTGGTGTATAGAAGAGCAGCAAATCACATAAAGCCAACCAACCAACTTGGTTGCAGTTTATACTTTTAAATGGCTTCTGTTCAGTGAGATACTACTGTGGTAGGTTTTCATGGCTTCACTGCAAAAATTTTTTGTAGCATGGTGATGCACACGAAGTATTTTTGGGTTAAGGCAACGGTTAATTAGTCCATGTGCTAAGGGTACTAATGTGCTATTGTTTACTGTACTTTAGTAGTGCCTCCAAAACATTGGGGTGTGATGACGGAGCCCCAAGCTGTGGGTTAGAGCTGTTGTGGCCGAAGTGTCCTGGGAAGGCATTCTCATATGGCTGCACTTTTTTGTGTTTTTTCAGTTTATCCGGTTCTTCCATTCATCCAGCCGTCTTTCGAACGGGGCTCCAGATTGCGGAGGGCGTTGTCATCGGCTCGAACGCTCGCTGTGTTGCCATGCTGGCAGCATTCAGATTGGTAACTGAACAATCTTTGCCTTGAACCACACATCATGCCATATTGTTTCAAGGAAAACAGAAAGACAGATGAATGTTATGATTGTTTAGTTGCGTCTTTGTCTTATACAGAAAGGCAAGTGAGATGTCAACAGGAGGTTGACCAGAAGAAGATTTATGCTTTACTGTAATAGGAGGCAGAGAAAGGTGTAAAAGCAAAGGGCAAGGAGAAAGAGAGGTTAAGCACAGGAATGAATGCGTGGTTGCTTGGAAAAGAAGAAGGCACTATTTTCTGCAACTTTTGCAGGAGCACGGCTCGGCGCTTTGTAGGGGATGGAAGGAGGGGGATATAAAAGAATATAGGAAATATATAGTTAGATCAAGAAATCAGACAGGAAAGCAACAGAAGAAGGAGATAGGAAAGTTGGGAGCCGATTGGAGAAGTCTGAGGACGGGGAACCACATGACGAGAGCTTCACGGCGCCAGAAGGTCGCCGCGGGCGAACCAGTCGGCAAGAGCTACGCTGGCGTCGGAGATCGCGGGCGGCACTACTGGTCAGCTTGGAATACTCCTGCCCACATGCATATACACCGAAAGAAAGAGACTAACAAAAGAGGCAAAAGGTGGTGGTTGTAGAAATATAACAGCCTCGTTGTTTCATGTGAAAAAGGTTGCGTCTTGCAGCACTCAAGGATGCAAATTGATAGCAGCTAGCTGAGAATTTGCTGTTTTGACTGTGTTACAAGTGGGGCACAAGTAATTCAAAACGAACTGTGTTGGCGTGCAGGAAAAAAAAAAAAAAACATAACGTACCTTTAGCTCGCAGAGAAAGAGGAGGCGTTATGTTTAATTTAATTTCTCTCTCTGGCAGTGGAATAAAAATAAAGGCTCGTGAATTCATCAGTAAGCAAGCCTAATCAAAGCTAAAGTGTTGAAGTACATAAGTCCAGTGAAATGGTGTTCAGTGTGTTTCAGTTTATTCAAAAAACAAGTGAAAGACCGTTTATCTCACCAATGACACTAAAACAGCCTTCTGGCGCCCTGTTTCAGATTGGTATATACTAATGCGATTAAAGTTCTGCCGTCTTCGATAGAACAGCTTTTTAGATGCGAAGCATCTTATACTCGCGCCTTGTAGTGCGCCGTCCGCACCGCTTCTCAAACATTCGACAGCTGACGCGCGCGCATGCGCCGTCGCCCACTCTTCCACCATCTGTGCATCCCTTCCTCCTCTACACACCGCGCGCGCTTCACTCCTCCACCATCTGTGCACCCTTCCTCCTCTACACACCGCGTTCGACATCTACAATTCTCCTGATTCTCCAGTGGACGCGCATGTGGCGTCGCGCTTCGAGAACATTCAACAGCTGACAGTGCATGCGCCGTCGAGCTGTATATATACTCAAGGTCGGCGCTCGCTCGCTCAGTTGCCGCTCGTCGGTTGGTTTGTACGGCGCGTCGACGTCCAAGGTCGCGGTGAAATGAATTCCAACGAATCCACAAACACAATGATCGACGTCCCTTCGACCAGCGCCGCCCTTTCGCATGCGTGTGTACGTGTTCACTCATTTAACACCCCCTCCTACAACCACGTTAACCAATTTAGCCATCGACCCAAGTAAGTCGCAATTTAACACCCCATTTCACAACCACGTTAACCAATTTAGCCATCGACCCAAGTAAGTCGCACTTTAACACCCCGTTAACCAATTATATGCTCCGCATCCTCCTCAGTGTTCCCCCGAGGGAAGCTGCGGGCAATTTTTTGGTCAGAAAGACAGATTTGACTCAACATGCATGTGTGAAACAGCACGAAGCACATTAGTTTAATAACAACATTTCATCCCTAAGGACAGGCTTTCAGAATAAAAATGTTTCATCACATTGATTCTATTTTTAGCATTTAAATGTTTTATTGAAACAAATTATGTTGAGTAGCAAGCCTGGCACTTCAAAGCATTGGTAGCTTATCTTTTTTTTTTTTAATTCTGCACTAGTACTGCACAATGACCTGCTTGAGGAGGTATCCTTTGCGCAGTAGACTGCAATAGAAGCTTCCTAATGTTTTTTCTGTAGAATTACATTATTGGGACCATACAGTTTTCTATAAATACACTAGAGGGAACTCTGGTGTTATTGTGAACACACGATGCTTAAGCGAGCACAGATTCGTCTAATCTTAGTACTTGTGGCTCCGTGTGTGTTCGTGTAGCTTGGAGCTGTTTTCTCGCGAAACAAAAATCGGCAAATGTTCAGCGGTTGCGCTTAACCACCTTAACCTTTTAGGCTTACCATTTCAAATCGGGTCACAAAGTCCAAAAGGGTTCATTCTTTCCTTCAAGACAAAACCGAAAGGCAGGAATAAATAAAGCCACAAGTGTGACTCGCTGCTTGCAAGTGCGAAGACAAGGCAAATCCATGTACTGCCCATCATTCCCATGGTCACTGGACAATTGCAGTGCCAGAGTGCTCTCTAGCTTATCTTTATTTTAGGAAACTTTATAATTATCAGCTTTATTAGATGGTGTGATTTAACAAATTTAAAATTGCAGTTTATGTTTTCATTTTCTTTTTATCGCAGCTGATAGAGGACTACACTTGTGATGCCAGCAAAAGGGTGTCCCAGGACCTCAGGGAGAGACTGGACAAAAATATCGAGTAAATAGAAAATTTTCTATTGTCACCAGTTCCTATCTGTGCATGCAACGAGAACTTTGTACACCATAGTTGCTCGGGCCTCTTTTCATGCACTACACGGCACCTGCGATGAAAAGAACAGGTTATGACTGATGGTGCAGTCTAGGGTACGTACCCAAAAGCAGTCAATGTTTAATTCTTTGAACTTGTTATTGACCATTAAAAAAGAAAAATATTGCTAGTTTCAAACTGATGCATGCGTTTCTTACAGCTGATCTCAAGGGCTCAGATTGCAACAGCATCTCAGATAGCCCTGACAGCCTGGTGGTAGGTAGGCTTGTCAGGTACTCGTTTCTCTAGTCGCAGCACAAGCACCTCGGTGCACAAGCACCTCAGTGAATATTCGAGCGCTCGGAATGTTCGAATGAGTATTAACATGTTTGAATTCGCTTCAATTCAAATTTAAGTTATTGGGAATATGTCAAATATTTAAAGGGAACTAATAGGTGGACATTAGTCCACATGTAACCTCCTGGTAAAGATGGTTGCACTGCAGTGGAGGTGTGATATATCACAAATGCACCTTTCCAGACAACAGCTCGCACTGTCGCAAAGCTTTACTTCAAAGTGAAATGAACATATTAACCTGACATTGATTCATCATCTTTTTTTTTCAAGTGTAAAAGCTTGTTATACCGGCTTATATGCTACAGGTATAATAAATTTCAAGGCTCAACGTATATTACCAATTAACCGCTAGCGTTCTACTGAAATTCAAATACTGCTACTACTCAAAGTTGCTTACATATTGTGCAGGTTAGTTTGGTCAGGACGAGTATGCTCATTTTTTTTGTAATATGTGACATAAAGCTTTCCAATTTGATCCAAAATATTTGAACCAAATCGCTATTTGCTTTAAATAAAAAATGTACTATTCGCACAAGCCTAATAACCAGAAACTCGTACTGCGTCTCATAATAGTGACTCCTTGCTGTTCTTAGTGTGCTTGACTGCACTGCGTTGTGCTTGACAGCGCAGCGTCGTTGCTTTTTGGTGAAGCCGACTTTTGGTAGGTATACAGAAGGGAACTGTCGGTGTTCCTATATTTGCAATGCCTGCAAGTGAATGAGCACGCAAATGTGCTTTCGCAGCTCGCTCTAAGATTAGTCAATGTGGCAATAGTGTCATTTTTCCTATATGTCAAAGCTCCATGAGGCTCTGCGAAGCCCCGCTCTTTACGGCCAAACCTGGGCGACCCAGCACGCCCGTGAGGCGGTGTCGAGGCAAGCCCATGACGTCCCCTCATGGGAGGCTTAGGCCCGGCTCCCTAAACCTGCTGGTTTTTTATAATAAAGTTTATTCCTCCTTTTCCTCCTATATGTAGGGTATGTGCCATCTTGGTGGCACATACCCTAAAGAAAACAGCCTGCCCCTTCAGCGAACTTGTTCAGGTAATTTAAGTGCACTTAACGAGTTAAGCTGGCTGAATTCTACGTGGCCTTTGCATTCAGCTCCTGCAATGCCCTGTTGTGCTGCTGATCCAGATCACAGAGGCCATTTAGAGGCATGTGTTAGAGACTCGCTACACTAGATGCCGCAATGATCCCAGCTGTTCACAAGAAAACCATGAGCTTTTTATGGCAAAAGCTGTTATAAGATGACAACAAGGGCCATTTTTGACGTCATAGTTGTCTGCCACCACCGGTGGCAGACAACTATGATCCAAAAATGGTGGTAGTCTGCGTGCTGTGGTTGTCTACGTGGTGGTAGTTGTCTGCCACCACCGGTGACAGACAACTACCACCACGTAGACTACCACAGCATGCAGACAACCACCACCACATAACCGCTATTGTGCGAGATAAAGAAAATTGCCGAGCCTGCACGAAAAATGCAGCACAGTTGCAGCAAAAGCTAGACGAGTGCCATTTGAACCCGTTGCAAACTCTCTTGGGGCTACTAATACAAGTACGCTTGCAAGGTACCCACTACACTTTTAATCGATTTAGTGGCTGATGCTGATGAAGTATTATGCCTAAGCTATTTGTAATGGATTAGAAGCTTTCAACGATCCACTCGTTGCGCAATTCATACTATGTGATGCCTGGTTACACAATTCGCATTCTGTGTCACCTGGTTGTTGTTCTACTTTTCTACCTCGCTATATTAAGTATGTGAATGCAATTCCTTGCCGACATAATGCTTGTATAGGGTTTATGTAATCTGCAGCTTTGAGCACCGGCATGGCGCTGTGGTAAAATACTGGGCTTTAGGCTAGGACCTAGGTTCGAGCCCCATTCTGTCATGGACATTTCTTTCCTATTTCATTTTTTTTTTCCTTATTTTGTGTGGTAATGATTACAGACACTGGCTGCGGTAGTGGACAACTACAGCGCCCTTGTTGTGATCTCATAACAACTTTTATTGTAAAAAACGATATGAGAAAAACAGAATGGAACGGGGTTCTAACCTGAGACAACCGTGCGGTAGCCCAGTATTCTACCTCAGAGCCATGTCGGTGCTCGAAACTCTTTCGCAAAAAGATGCTGCAGAGGCCTCATGCGGGGAAGGAACCATGTGAAAATATGTACCGTAATTACTCGAATCTAACGCGCACCTTTTTTCCGGTTAAGCGAGTTCATAAATCGCATGCGCGTTAGAATCGAGTACGAACAAAAAAATTACGGTTAATCTATTGCCATCGCAAATCCAAAATGGCCGCCCCCTACGTGCGTTGGCATGGTGCGTCGGCTATTTCTGCCTATGTGTTTACCATGTGCGGTACTTCGTACGTGTGCTGAGGAGTTGGTCATCTAGTAGTGCATTAGCATCTACAACTTGGAAGGGCCGACTCCAAAAACTGGAGTGCACCACGATGCCGCTTTTAAAAGAAAAGTCATCGCGTGTGCAGAAACGGATGGAAATCGGGCCGCATCGTGGTCCTTCTCGAAACGTGCGTGCGGGACCGGCGGAAACAAAAGCAGAAGATTGTCGACAGCAAAGCTTCACGCAAAGGCTTCAGTGAACCACAGCAGGGTCGGTTTCCGCAAATTGAAGAGCTACTCCGCGAGTATGTGCTTGAGGAGCGAGTGGCACAGCGGCCCATGACGACAGAACTGCTCCAAGTGCGGGCTATGCAATTAGTCTTAGAAAAAAGTCTAATGCGGAGCCTGTTTAAAGCGAGCAGGTGCTGGCTAATTAACTATATGAAGAGGAAAGGCTCTTCCCTCCGAAGGGGAACATGCATATGCGAAAACTTTTGCGGAGAAGTACGATGAAAAGCTTTACAGTTTTCAGAGGTTCGTCTTGCGGCGCAACAACGGCTACCTGCTTGGGCAAATCTGGAATGCCGATCAGACGCCTCTTTACTTCGACATGCCTGGCACCACAACTGTCGAGAAGAAGGGGGCGAAGCAAGTTCGCATGCTGACATCGGTCCACGGTAAAACTACAGTTACGGCAATGCTCTGTTACACGTCAGATGGGCACAAGCTTCGCCCATACCTGATATTTAAATGGAAGACAATCCTGAAAGGAATCGTTTTTTCGAGTGGTGTGATCGTGCGGGCCAGCAAAAAAAAATGGGTGCGCGTTGCAATCGATGTCTTACGTTTTTTTTTTTTCGCGGTGGAAATCGGGTGGGCGTTACAATCGAGGGCGCGGTAGAATCGAGTAAATACGGTAATATTGCATGGTAAAAAAGCTAAGTAACAACGAGGTGTCTCATGGTGCAAATTGCAGAACGAGCAGGTCGTTGAATGCTTCCAGCTCATTACAGAGTGTTCAGGCATAACTCTTTATCGTCATCAGCCACTGCATCAACAACGTGCTGCACCTAATGCCTTGCAAATTCATAGCGGATACCTCGCTTTTCCACAGAATGATGAATAATAGCGTAGCAGATGCTTCCCTACTCGACAAAAGTGATGATTTATGGCGTAGAGGCTGCCTTGCAGGCGTACTTGTATTAGTAACCACAAGAGAGTTTACGTGGGGTTCCACTAATGCCGCTCTTCCAGCTGTTGCTGTAACTGGGCTGCACCTTCCGCACAGGCCTGACTTTTTTCATGAACTCATTTTATTAATTTTCATTAATTGGCTGACAGTTCATCGGCCTCTATCAATTCATGCAAGTAAATTCATGCTTAGATATTGAATGTCTCTACAACTCTTTATTTCAACCATTACCTTATTTTTATATGAGTTTTTATTTATTATCAGGTTTGGGAAAATTAAGTGTTTTTCTTCAAAAACACAATGTCACTGGTTGCTCGCACAAAAAAAAAAGTACACCTCGAACAAGATAGGAAGTGTGCTCAATAAACCACAATTTGTCCGGAGTGGCAAGCCCAGTGTTGCTATTTCCTTTTTGCACTGTGTTATACGTGTACTCTAAACAAAGTTATTTTACGCAGGTTTTTAAATAAAGCCAGGCCTCTGAGCATGAGCATGCAGAACGCAATGACGTTTCTGAAGGCCCAAATCTCTGAAATTCAAGATGCAGAGCCAGTGGAAAAGGTAAGAAGGTCGGCATTCCTACCACGGTCTTGAAAAAATCACAGGATTGTGCTGTTGTAACAGAACATGTCCAGCAAAATCTATATGTATCATATTTATTCGATTCTAGGCCGATAGTTCTTTTCAAATTTTTTTGCATCAAACTGCAGGGTCGGCTTAGATTCGAGGATTTTGAAAAACTCGCTATTTTTTATGAAGAAAAGTGGTGCACAAGCGCCATCTAGTCGGTATTATAGATGTGATTGCCGTTGGTAGCCATGTCAACACCTGGTCGCCGCTTTGATCTTTGTGGAGAGTGTTGAGGCGAGCCATTTGTCATTTTTTTCGAGTCTTGCTGTGAGTGGTCTGTGGGTGGCGTAGCTCAATGGCACCAAGCAGGCAATGCCACTTATAAAAGGAAAGTTGTCTTAGCCGTGGAGTCATCGCCCAAGGTTCAAGCCGGGCGGGACTGTGCAGTGGATAAAAAAAGTATGCGCCACTGGAGCGGCTGCAGCACGGGACAGCCTTGAAATTTTGATTGTGTGCTCTTTTAAGAAGTGCGGCATATTAAACCCGCTTTTGATGGCATCTAGAATTACGCACTCTTTGGAGACGGTGACAAAGAAGTCAGCAACAAAAGAAGCAGGGACGACGACTTGCAATGAACACGGCAGGGGACTAGAAGCAGCACGAAAAAAACAACGTGAAAGAAACACACTCAACAGGACTAGAGGCTGCATGTTTCTCGAGTTATTTGCAACAGGAACCAACTGCTTTGTTTCATCTTCAGGTTTAATAAATGTCTTCTCTTTGTGCTGTCTTCGATGTTTCTCTCAGCCTACATTCGAGATAAGTTTCGGGGGGGGGGGACTTTTGAGGGTCGGCTCAGAATTGGTGTTGGCGTAGATTTGAGGAAATACGATAGTTTGTGTTAAATATTCCTAAAATCTTCTTATAGTTTCATATTTGGCCGTAAAACCACAGCAAAACATGCTTTTAATTTGAAATAATTTCAGTTGAAAGTCGGTGCACTGTGTGCGTGTGCGCACGCATGCATTCTTCTCTATCTACGTTCAGTCATGCCCTTCCAACTTTAGCATGGCGAACCAACTAGCCTGCCAACGCACTTTGCCCAGTTTCATTTGAATCTTGTATTGCCTTGCAGGTGTCATTGTTATTGTAGGTGTGACCGCAAAGGTCAGGGGCTACAAGTGTAAATAGATGTGACCCCCGAAAATGTGCTGTTAAAATGCGTATTTGTATGCGTCGTTTTCCAATAGCTGATGTTCCCTCGATCGTGGGCGCTTCAGCAATCAGCTGTTTCTGATATGGGAATCTGATATTTTGCCAATATTATCGAGGGGACTTGTCATTTCGCCCTGCCACGTTCAATGTTGCCTTGATATAAATGCCCGACTGTTGTTATTGCTTGTAGCAATTGAGGTGTTGCACTGCCAAGCATGTGGATGACGGTCCCATTTCTGGCATGGAGGAAGGAAACGATTGTCAGGTGCACACATACACACACACGTGTGAAGCTTTGCTTGACTCCTTTTTCCCCAATAGGGCACGGGCTCCAGATTTTTTTTTCCATATAGGTGTACGAGCTTTCACAGCCTTGTTGACTTTTGCATTAATGACACATACCAAATTTTAATGTGATATGAACTTGGAACTTGCAGTGTGCAAATAGTAAAGCTTTCATATATTTTTTCAATAGTGCTCACTATTCGATTTGATTTGCATCAGAATTTTACTGCGCGGACTATTTGAATTTTCGTGATATAACAGTTTAACGTAACGGGAAATTGCCATGCAGTGTGCTTGGTCATGCGTATTGGGGCACTGACGTGCAAAGCTGCCCCCACCTCCCCTGCTTTCACTGGTGCTCGGAGTGGTCGCCGGGTGACGACCTTTGCTGGAGGTGCACCATTGCCAATGCATAAAATGCCCATCCATTGTACCTAGAATCCAGGGAGTGATGCGATTCGTTGCCTGCGATGAGCCACATTGCAGCTTCTTCGCTTTTGTATGTCCCTTAGCACGATGTCCTTGTTTGCAATGTCCCGATTTCTCTCGTAGGACAGCACCGTGAGCAGAATCGGGCCTGGCCATGGTGCCGAGCAGTCTGTTCAGTTGCATTGTCCATGGCCACGGTGCCTGATGTCTCAAAGTATGCCTAGCTCGATCGCAATGAGCCATCTCGCTATGATCTTCATCACGAGGTCCGAAGCACCCTAAGTGGAACTCTCACTTCCAAGACGTGCATCTGTGATGTTCGCGATGAGCGCGGTGCGCTAGCGAAATCTGGTCATTGAGGCCCTACATGCAGATGCCAAAGTAAAGTGTAATTATACAAGTGATCGTCAAGCTGTGTGCGCTTAACGAGTGCGAACATGTCACTAACAGACACTCGTGACCTCACGACGCGCAAGATGCGTATGATGCTCTCCAACATCGAGGATTAGACCAATGGTGACGCATGCTGGAGCAATGAGGATGGGGTCAATCGGAGACCTCAAATCGAACTTCATACATTTGCTTTTTGTACGCTTGTTTCTGAATGGAGGACCAAGCTGAAGTGGGAAATTCGTAGGCGGAGAAATGCTCCTTCTGATAAGCTCAATGTGGCGGCGCTCGAGTGCTCTCTTGCGACACTTTCTTTTTAGAATAAAATTTAGGATATGCTTAAAGGTTCGCTGCTACTCTTTTCTGTAATTTCACTTCACTACAGTAGAGAAATATTAGGAAAATATTCACCTCGATTCACACTCAAACTTCATCATTTGAATTCATTTCACACCCAAATCTTGTTATTTGGACAGTTCTACTGAGAAATATCTGTCAAGCCTTCTGTGTTGCAAATTTAAGGGTACATGCATCAGTCTTTTGTGATTAGTATTCATAATGTAAGTGCGAGGATTTCATTGTTCTTGGAGATTGAGAGTGCAATAGTATTTTTCACACTGCAGTTAAGGTAAAAACTGTGTTTCTGGCATTGAATACTTGTGATTACGACTTGTGGTATGTGCTACATGCACTGACAAATGGCTTTTGCAGCATCAGTGCATACTGCCATGTCACACACTTACTTCTGGTGAGGCCCCGCCGATCCAACACCGACGTGCGGCAGACTCGCAGGCTTCCACTTTACGCTTCGGCCTGCGACGCCTGAAAGGCCTCGAAGTGGCACATTTCGAATTTATTTGCGGGTTGGTCGACCCGTGCGGGGTCGCACGTGGGGTGATGTGTGGGCCTGACCGACGCACTCATAAGCAGACACGGAGACTTTATGCAAAACGAACTAGCATTTAATTGAAACAAGGGCAAATGCAGGCGTTAACAAAAATAACAGAGGAAGAATAACACTGATACGCGACGGGAAGAACGACTATGAAACAAACTATGCTCTAAAAGAACACTACAAGAGGTACAGACAAAGGACAAATATGCGGAATATTAATAAAATAACAACAAGATAGAAATCATAAAAGAGGGTTACAAGGAAATAATTACAGAATGATCATTGGTCGCGCTTTTTAAATTTCAAAGTGCGTCGCAGCGCACAAAACTACAAATAAAAACAAAAGGCTGGTTATAATAATTTAAAAGTTTAAAAAAAGTCACAATAAAAAGTTCCATACGGACCAGGCCAGCTCTTGGTGCACGAGGGGAGTTGACGGGTGCCGTTGAAGATCTCGCCGGCTTGGTAGACGACGAGGGTGCCCGGAATTGCAGCCGTCTCAATACGTTGCGCGGGTCACTTCGTGCTCGTCGCCTACGCGAGACTCGCGACACCGACGACCGCACTTGTTGCTGGCTGTACGTCAACTGCTCTTGCGATGCAGTTCAAACCTCCTCAGTGGCGTACACGTGCTCCCGTCTCATCTGGGAGTAATTTTCCTTGTTTAGACCGCCGGTGCCCCTTCCGGTACCGGTGCAGGGTAGACGAGCCGGCGCCACGCTGGGTCGTTATAGTCACCGGATGTCGTCCCCCCAACACAAAAGCGCCCTTTCTTGGAAGGTGGGGCCCGCGGATGCTCCGGAAATTGGAGTCGTTTGTGACACAGCCCCCTTCTCAAGAATATTGCTGTGTAATATTCAAGAAAATCACAAACGTGCAATGTTCGCAAGCTTTCAGTGTTCCGGTCGTCCACCAACGCGTTTCTTTTTTTTTTTTTTTTTTTCGCGCACCATTTCGCTGACGTGGACGACACGGCAGAGAACACCCGACACACCACACCTTCACGGTCACTATACGATGAATGTCATACCCCGCGCACCATGACACGGACACACATGAAACACGAAGAAACACACACTGCTAGAATCGAGGGAGCTGCATTCGAAGCACCCCTTCGGGCCATCATGACACTGATCACAAGATAATCACAACACATAATTCTTCCAATGCCACGAGAAAAAAAAAAATACCGAGCAATTCTAAATCAAAGTGATACAAAAAGGTTTCAGACGAAATTAAGAAGGTATGAAGTATCCATGTATGCAAAAAACTTAACAGAAACCAAATAAAGCGAATGTCAAAGGCCGCTATACGCGACGCGATCATCTGCGTTTCATTGAACCTAAGTACACTCAGGCCTCCTCATCGCCGACTCGGCTCATGTAATCAGCCCCTACATTCTCTGAACCCTTTTATGTGTTGCAAATTCAAATGACAGAAATGAACATTATTTCAGACAATATCTCATTAGCCTTGAAGGTTACGTTTACGTTTGTATGTACACATACATAACTCTTATCCGCGCTCGAGGTGGTCGCGCTCTTGGGGGAGCCGTTCGAAGCAAACGGGGCAGAGAAAAGCGTGTACGGCCGCTACACGAACGCCTGTTTCCCGTTAGTCTACCCCGTGGCAGCAAGCCATCGTCAACACCGCGTTCTACGGAAATGGGCTTCGCAACCGCGTCGCGTCGTCTAGGCATAATGCACTCCTTCCCCGCGCATTCCGCTCCTCGAACACAAGAATGGAGTGGTGGGGTTTGGCTCCTCCGAGCAGCAGGTACAATCGCCTGCCTCACCCCTCTACCCTTCGGGCGGTTTGGGGCATGGGGACGGGCTCGCCTCGCGAATGTCACCACGCGCAAACGAATCCTTCGTTGCTTTGTGTCACGTTTGGGGCCTCTCATTTGCTTGGGTTTTCTTACAGCAGCCTTGGCTGCTTTCTGTACTTTTCGGCGTTTTTTTCGTTTGGCACATTTCCTTGTACCCTTTTTTGGAGCATCTGCTTCCATCAAATCTTGAGCATAACTACTCTGGTTGGTCTGAATTGATACACTGTGAACACAGCCGGGATTATTTCTTCTTGAATCAATGCTATCCTCACTTGAGAACAGCTTAACCGGCTCCTGAACAATGCAAATGGATTCCTCAGGGCTGCGACGCTCGCACCTGAAAGAACTATCTACAATTGTACTGTTCAGTCCACAATGCACTTCAGCACATGGCTCTGACCCAATGTAATTACAGGGGTTCTCGCCTGCCGATCTGGTAGTACTGCGGACTTCAGTGTCAGCTGCCATAGAGACGAACATACATGGTGGCTGTGGCGAGTCACCAACAGAGGGTTTTTCTGTACCATTCGAACCCTGTCGGCACAGCTCCTCGTCACCATTTCTCCAGCTTTCATTGGCCACTTTTGCCACAAAAGCGCTTTCTACAGCTAACACATTATGTTCAGGAATGAACCTACAGTCCGCCTCCCAAGCACTACCGGCCTGCCCGGCCTTTGGCGGCTCTACACATTCGGAATCTTTGCATCTTTTATGCATTACATCAAAAGCCTCAAACTCGCGCCGCCTGCTTTTAATCTTCAGGCGCAGTTTCTCAATGTACTCATGGTACGACTGTGCCAACTTGTTCGGGGCATGGACGGTCGCGCTATTGAAAATTCCAGAGCCTGAGCAGGCGTCCGACTGCGTAGTGAGCGGTCCTAATTTCAAGCGCTTTTTCGCTTCTTCTATTCTGAGTCTGGACCGCTCTTTTTCACGTTCCATCTCGACTTGCATATTTTGCATGTACCTAGTGCATTCTGCATCGCGCTCCTCTTTAAGTCTATTTCGTTCTTTTTCGACGAAATTGTATAACTGCTTGCCTACAAAGCTAAAGGCTTTGCCCTGTTCAATAAGCCTATCAAACACCGTGTCGTCCATTACTATACACAGTTGTCAACCAACAATGCAATAACAGAACGGCTACATACTGAACGCTCAGAGTTACGTCAGTCTCCCAGACACCACCACGTGGTCGGCCAGTCCTGTCGCGCGGACGCCAGATAATGTCACGCACTTCGAGTGAGGCCCCGCCGATCCAACACCGACGTGCGGCAGACCCGCAGGCTTCCACTTTACGCTTCGGCCTGCGACGCCTGAAAGGCCTCGAAGTGGCACATTTCGAATTTATTTGCGGGTTGGTCGACCCGTGCGGGGTCGCACGTGGGGTGATGTGTGGGCCTGACCGACGCACTCATAAGCAGACACAGAGACTTTATGCAAAATGATCTAGCATTTAATTGAAACAAGGGCAAATGCAGGCGTTAACAAAAATAACAGAGGAAGAATAACACTGATACGCGATGGGAAGAACGACTATGAAACAAACTATGCTCTAAAAGAACACTACAAGAGGTACAGACAAAAGACAAATATGCGGAACATTAATAAAATAACAACAAGATGGAAATCGTAAAAGAGGGTTACAAGGAAATAATTACAGAATGATCATTGGTCGCGCTTTTTTAAATTTCAAAGTGCGTCGCAGTGCACAAAAAGTACAAATAAAAAAAAGGCTGGTTATAATAATTTAACAGTTTAAAAAAAGTCACAATAAAAAGTTCCATACGGACCAGGCCAGCTCTTGGTGCACGTAGGGGAGTTGACGGGTGCCATTGAAGATCTCGCCGGCTTGGTAGACGACGAGGGTGCCCCGAATTGCAGCCGTCTCAATACGTTGCGCAGGTCACTCCGTGCTCGTCGCCTACGCGAGACTCGCGACACCGACGACCGCACTTGTTGCTGGCTGTACGTCAACTGCTCTTGCGATGCAGTTCAAACCTCCTCAGTGGCGTACACGTGCTCCCGTCTCATCTGGGAGTAATTTTCCTTGTTTAGATCGCCGGTGCCCCTTCCGGTACCGGTGCAGGGTAGACGAGCCGGCGCCACGCTGGGTCACCCGATGTCGTCCCCCCAACACAAAAGCGCCCTTCCTTGGAAGGTGGGGCCCGCGGATGCTCCGGAAATTGGAGTCGTTTGTGACATGCCACCAATATGTCTTCTTACTAAACTCTCTGCTTGGGCATTGTTCACCTTAGTAATATTTTTGTAAAGATGCTCAGCTTTTACAGAAGAGTCTTACACAAGGCGTTTCGTGGTTTGCTCTTGTACTTAGGAACCAGCTGTGCTGTTAGTAGCATTATAATGAATTGAATTGTGAATTGAGTGTAACAATGTGGATACCATACGACATGTAAACAGGGCCAATCTTGAATTTTTATTGCTGGCCTGGATTTTCAGTGTTGAAAAATGTTTTTGCTTTCTTGAGAGTCTCTTTATTAATTTGACTTCAAATGAAAAAGTAGTCAGTGAAGATAAAAATGTTCTACGAATGTAGCACCGACAATATGCAGCGTTTTTTTTGTTTATGTGCCCCAAATTAGCTTTTGATGTGATGGCTGGATTAACAAAGATCGTGAAGCAATAACATCTACATGCTGACATGGTAATCTGTTTTCTTTCAGTCTATTCGATAACCTCTCTCTGTCTTATTGTTTTTCAGGTAAAAGACAGTCTAGTGGAATGGATTAAGAAATTTGTGTACGAAGAAATTTGTCTGGCGAAGCGTCAGATTACAGTAGAGGCCCAGCAAAAAATCATGAATGAAGACGTTATTTTGACTTATTGCTGGTAAGACTATCTTCTTGCCTTGAAATTTATGAAACATCAGTTTTCTTATTTCTTTTTCAAACTATAGACACAAAAATGCCATTCCTTTGTCAATTGATAATTCTTATGGTTTTAGGTATAACAGCCAGTAAATACCGTAATTACTGAAATCTAATGCGCACTTATTTTCCGGTTAAGCGAGTTCATAAATCGCATGCACGTTAGAATCGAGTACGAACAAAAAAATTAGGGTCAATCTATTGCCATCGGCAAACACAAAATGCCCCCCCCCCCCCCCCCCCCCCCCGTGCGTCGGCATGGCGCGTCGGCCATTTCTGCCTATGTGTTTCCCATGTGCGGCACTTCGTACGTGTGCTGAGGAGTTCGTCATCTAGTAATGCATTAGCATCGACGGCGTGGAAGGGCTGACTCCAAAAACTCGAGTGCACCACGACGCCGCTTTTAAAAGAAAAGTCATCGCGTGTGCAGAAACGGACGGAAATCGGGCCGCATCGCGGTCGTTTCGAGTTCCCGAAACGTGCGTGCGGGACCGGCGGAAACAAAAGCAGAAGATTGTCGACAGCAAAGCTTCACGCAAAGGCTTCAGGGGACCACAGCAGGGTCGGTTTCCACAAATTAAAGAGCTGCTCGGCGAGTATGTGCTTGAGCAGCGAGTGGCACAGCGGCCCGTGACGACAGAACTGCTCCAAGTGCGGGCTATGCAATTAGTTTTAGAAAATGATCTAATGCGGAGCCAGTTTAAAGCGAGCAGGTGCTGGCTAACTAACTTTATGAAGAGGAAAGGCTTTACCCTCCGAAGGGGAACATGCATATGCGAAAAGTTTTGAGAGTACGATGAAAAGCTTCACAGTTTTCAGAGGTTCGTCCTAAACTTGCGGCGCAACAACGGCTATCTGCTTGTGCAAATCGGGAATGGCGATCAGACGCCTCTTCACTTCGACATGCCTGGCACCACAACCGTCGAGAAGAAGGGGGCGAAGCAAGTTCGCGTGCTGACATCGGTTCACGGTAAAACTACAGTGACGGCAATGCTCTGTTACACGTCAGATGGGCACAAGCTTCGCCCGTACCTCATATTTAAATGGAAGACGCTCCCGAAAGGAGTCGTTTTTTCGACTGGTGTGATTGTGCGGGCCAGCGAGAAAAATGGGTGCGCATTGCAATCGATGTCTTACGTTTTTTTTTCGCGGTGGAAATCGGGTGCGCGTTACAATCGAGGGCGCGGTAGAATCGAGTAAATACGGTAGTTCTACGCAGTGCACTGTTAATTAAGTGGAGTGATGAACTTGCATGCTGCACGTACCTTGCGAGAGCTTCCCAGTGGAAAAGCCAACTGGTGTTCAGTATTTACTAAATTTGATTTAAAGTTTCCCCAACTCTAATGCACATCTAATTTTTATAAATTCGAAGTAGTGAGCTCATGTGCGATCAAATGCACCAAACATGTAAGATTTGTGAGCCTGCCTTTCGTTTTTGTGACTATGAAAAAGAAAAACGCAAACTGAGCTTACATTTGTAAATTGTAGGTTTATTCGCACTTATTGTCGATCATCATTTCTTTCACGTGACTCCGTTGCAGTTCATAGACCACAATCGGTCATCCATTTCACACTTGAACAATATCAATAATACCGTATTCATAATTTCTGGAATGATCCCACAACACTTGCGAATGAGAGGGTGGTTCAAATTTAGACTAGTCACTTTGCTCTGCATTGCGTGAGGTCACTAGAATTGCTAAAGTGCACGATGGTCACTCTTGCCATTAGCTTAGCGTCTAGAATAACTTTTGAACGAGCTCTTGCGAAGAAAATCTGTCCACCAGTGTCACCGAAATGTTTGAGCACTCATTCCCTCTCCCTCTTGTGTTTACAATGGTGAGAGTGTGGGTTCGGCAGGTTCGCTGTAGCCAACATCTTGATGGCCATATTGCATCTGGTCTTAACAAGCTGGTAATTGTCAGATTTATTTTTTTTGAATAGATAACAGAGCCCTATATGATGGGTAAAAGAATACTATATATCTTTCTGTTCCCAAGAAACTGGTAAAAACTACTTCAGAATGACCGTCACACGTTACACTATGACTAATTTTTCGTAGGCATAATAATATTTCCTGGCTTCATTGTAAAGCACAGCATTTTCAGGAATATAAATAAAACCACGATTACAAAGTGAGGCAAAAGTTTGCTTTTGATAACTAAGTAATGACATAATTATAATTAGGTCTATATGAATAATTGGGTGGTTCAAACATTAAGTGAATGCTTGAATTTGCTTTGATGCAACTTTCTGATATTTTGCAGTATTCGAAATTAACAAGAGGTACTTTATCGCAAGAGACCCACTTGAGAAGGTAGTTTCATTGCAGCTTGGGTCGTTATGGCACAAGACCACCTTTTCAGGGGAAATTCGCGCTGCTGCGAAACCACACTAGAATGGGTGCACTGCTTACACGCTCAAGCGAATTCTTTTGTAAAATCTGAAAACATGTTATGCAGCTTACAGAGCTCATGCAGGCCGAGTATGGTGTATTTGAAAACGTAATGCAATTTACAGCTTATACATTGCATTCTACTGCTGTTCAAATCATGCTACTGGTTAAATTGGTTCCTAAAATATTCTATATTAATTGCCATTATGTTTGATTTGATCTTGTATGAGAAAAAAGTATTTGTGCAAGCCTAATGAAAACATAATCTTAGGACTCGCAGTATAGGCTGTGTTTATATACACAAAATTTTCTCTGTTGGGCAGTGGGAAATCATTGATGATGATGTGTGTATGTTTTTCAGACTATCGCACACGGTAGAATTGCAGTGCTCTGAAACATTTTAGAACTGACAAGCACTGTTTCAAGGAGCTAAATGTGCGTCATCAGCATGGTTGATGGCGTGCTGACACTCCATCGGCAAGCATCCCTGTAGTGTAATAATAAATCAATGAATGAATAAATAAATAAATAAATCACATCTAGGAGCCCACCATCAGTCGTTGATGTTGGACTCTGCAATGTAGTTGAGCCCATGTGATACTTCCTGTCTTTTTATACTGCTTGAAGTGCTGACTTAGGGACAAGCATCCCTGTAGTGTATAAATAAATAAATAAATAAATAAATAAATAAATAAATAAATAAATAAATAAATAAATAAATAAATAAATAAAATCGAGAAGCCCACCATCGAAGTCGTCGATGTTGGACTCTGCAATGTAGTTGGGCCCATTTTATACTTGGGGAACTCTTGCCATTTTAGAGATTGGCTTTTCCACAAAGCTTGGTAGCCTGATGGTTGAGACTAACACATTTTGACGTGTGAGACCTGAATAAATGTGAAATAAATGTAAAATATATTCTGGGTACGCTTACAATACTTTCATGCACTTCCTCAAGCTCGTGTTGCCATTGTGTAGTTGCAGTAATGTTTGTAGGTTATATTGTGGGGTAATCGCTTGCTTTTCTGATTTTGGTTAGTCTGTTGCACACTGCTGACTATGCTGTGAGTTATTGGGTGCATGCTCATCACTGCTTTCACTTTTATCTTTGTGATCATCTGTGATCTCATTTTTAAATGCAGCTCATCATTGGTCAAGAGTGTGCTCAAGGTAGCGCACGAGTCTGGGAAGAACTTCAGAGTCATTGTCGTCGACAGCCGGCCACAATTTCGAGGTCGGTACCGACATTATCTTTAAACCCTGCAAAGTTTATTGATTGCTCAGGTTTCCCTATTTTCTTGTTTTCGAAGTCGTGATCCAGACAGTGCATTGCCTAAGTACACTTTTCTTTGCTGCAGGTCGAGAAATGTTGGAGTACTTGTCCAGTATTGGAATCAACTGTACTTATGTCCTTATAACTGCTGTATCTTATATAATGAAGGAGGTAAGTTTTACATTTATTGGTTTATTTCTAGCAAAAATATATTGATACTATTGGCAGTTTTAAGAACATGCCTGGTGAAAAGGTTTAAGGACTTCCCTGATTTTTTCTTTCGTAGGCTTAAGGTACATTTTTTTCTAAAAATAAACTACCAAGTTTAGTGTGGAGTACTAATCTAGCTTGATTATTTTTTCCGATAGAATGTTTAGAATGCTTGTGGAAGGATTCACACTGATGTCTCAAACTGTCACACTATCTATTTATGTTCAAGAAAGCCACTAATCAATGACCACCACCTCAGGCATATTGCATGATGTAGTTCTTCCTTCATCTGTTTGATGAAAGGCATAGCTGTTGGAATTATCATTTGCTGCCTTGCTTTGGAATCAAAATTGAAGCTGGTATTTCTATCCACTGTGCTTGTTGTGCTTTTTTCTTGCGGCTGTTATATTACTATAGCTTACTACTTCTCACTGACTGGTATCCAGCTGTTACCTTCTGACTTTTGGTGACTAAGCACTAATAAGGCTTCTGACTTGTGCCTACGGCATGTTTCAGTACCGGCATTGGTAATAAGGCATACGTGGCCTTCAGCTAAACTGGCAATATGAGGTGTGGTCTTTGTTTATTTTAATCATGTGCTTTTTTGCATTCTTCCAGGTGACAAAAGTAGTGCTCGGAGCCAGTACTCTTTTGGCCAACGGTTATGTGATGGGTCACATCGGCACCTCCCAAATAGCTTTGGTTGCCAAGTCAAGGAATGTACCTGTGTTAGTGTGCTGCGAAACGTACAAGTTTTCTGACAGGGTCATCACCGATTCCTTTGCGCTCAATGAACTGGGTGAGGAAGAATTTACCCCTACTATATTATCTCAGTTTATGCTGGGTTGCTTGATGAAGCGTTGGTGCTGACTGCTTCAGAGACATGAACGCATTCACTTTGCTATTGGAGCTAGGTCTGGTGTTTCCGGCATTGAATGTTTTGTGCTGTAAAACGACATACCCTGTTTTGACAAACTTCTACTCACTTGGTGCTCAGAGCTCATCTGTGTGAAAATGCAATTACAGTGCACTCTCAGTAAACCGAAATCTGTCAAACGGAGCTGCTGCTTAAATGGAACAACTGGCACTGATATGATTGGTTTCATACTTGAATGCCACAAACTAGTTCACCTCTCAGTTTATGGAACTCCTGGTAAATGGAACACGTTTTCCCAGTCCCTTCAAATTCCGTTTGATGAGAGTCTACTGTATTCTGTTAGGTCAAGAGAAAGCTGGTGCTTGGAAGATTTGGTTGCACTTTTTAGGGAGCATTCTTTCTCCGGCAGGGTCAGCACTTTTTGGTGAATGCTACATGTATATGAAATATTTAGAATTAAAGGTCCTGAGTGTTATTGGGTCTAGAGATGTGTTCAGAGTGCATATGAAGCATGCTAATGATTTGGGGTATTTGTGTAGGTAGTGATTCTTTAGATGTGGTGTACTTGCCGCCGAAAGATAACACAGCTGCAACTACTTTTGTGGAGGCATGTTTCGTTTTCATGTTATAAACCATTCTTATGCAAGAGGAATCAACAATCATTTTTTATTCCGGAGGCGCCTGTAGATTTACGAGTCATCAGACAGCCTCACAGTAATTGGGATCACCAAACAAACTCGGCAGTCTGGTCTGAAGTTGTCATTGTCATGTCCAGTCATTATTATTCTCTTCAGTAATTTTTATCAGAAGTTGATTGCTGGTCATATAGCATCAAAATGTTTGCAAAGCGTAGAAAAAATTCCATAACTGTTTACGCTGTGGGGAATCGAGTACCACTTAACTGTTTGTGAGATTTCTTTTTTGTTTCATTGCAGGGCCAACTTCACAGCTTGTGTCAAGTCTGCCTGCTAGCCTCAAGACCGACGGCCTAAAGGACTTGCCATGTCTCAGCTTTCTTAACCTCATGTATGACGTTACAGCACCCCAGTTTGTTGACATGGTAATCACCGAGAAAGGCATACTTCCCTGCACCTCAGTGCCTGTCGTGTTGCGGATGCGGAACGCAGTGTACCAGTAGAGCTCCTTTAGGATAATTCTCGTTTTGAGATATCGCAGTGTTCAAAATGTACGACAGGCTCGTACAATTCGCCAGAATTAACTCGGGAGCTTTCCATCAGCCTGAGTGTTGAGGTGGGAGGACTTCGTAATTGTGCTGTACGAAGTGACCTTGATTTCTTTCTTTCTTTTGTAATAAAAGATAGTAAATGACAGCAAATAGGATTTGTGTGCCTTGTTAATTTTTCATTTACTTGACTTGAGAGAGAGAGAAAGAATTAGATGAACAGTAAAACGCAGGGAGAAGTACCTGGTAGAAGTAACCAGTTTTCTACCCGGTTACTTCTACCGGTAACTGGTTCTTAACTTGAGTACCTTTCAGAGGGCTGCTGCTGTTTGTGAAGACTGCTTAGAATGTTGTGTTCCAGCACTATTCTGTTAGTTGAGAGATATGAGGTTGTGGTAAAAAACATCTGGGATAAGTTATGTCCCTAAGCAATCATAGGGCATGTTATAGTTGAAAGTAGGCATTCACTATTATGGAGTCGGGGCCTCATTGACTCTTTGCATTACTACAACCTATTCAAGTATCATTCCTCAGAAAGAAAGGAAAGACGCATTGATATGAAGTACACAGTCGAACCCCTTTATAAGAGACAAATGGGTATAAGACACACCAGTGGGCCTACAGTGAAATACGGGCTGATAAGAAAATGCATATGAGGTACCCCGCTTATAAGAGACCTCTCGCATAAACGACGGAAAGGGTGTACTAACTGTATGGAGAGTAGTTGAATATAGCAGATGCACACCTTCCGACATAAGCTAACAATATCAGGGCTTCACTGCTAAAGTGGGTTTTGGCTCTGTTAATACATGACGCATCCAATATAGTATGCAGCTGTGTAGGTGAGAATAACCACTACAGCTTGGAACATTTACTTCAAGGCTGTGCTTTCATACAAAGTGGAGATATAGTTGTCGCAAAAATTTTGCGACCTATGATCTTTCACTTGGGGTGTACCTAGCGACTTGCGAGAAAATACGATGTGCCAGTTCATATAGGATGGGTGACAGCAACTATGATTATGCATTATTTATCTTTACTGGAGAGTGAGCACTGACTATGGGGACGAAGAGAGGAACACGACAATAGTGCTTGCGAAACACTCTAGCGCTTGTGTCACATCACACACGTTGCACTGTGCTTGTATAAAATAGAGTATTTAACCACCTAATATCACATTAAAACTTTTTCATATTTTTTTTTTCGTGCATTGATGTCAACCTTTTTTTAGTTTCTATGTTTCCTTGGAATTTCATCTACTTGCGTTTGCAGTAATGGAAGTGCTGCTCCAATTGCTACAAACTGCTTCAAAAGAGAAATGCTGCTGCAAAGTGCAATATTTGCTGCTCCAAACCTGCTCCAAAATGGTGTTGGCAAATTCAAAAGAATAACGTTGAACCACGGGACCATCCCGTGAGCATAAGCGAAACCAAAAGCAAGCTGTATACGCTAACATCCTAGTATGCTACTCAGTGGCGTAAATCCATAAATATCTCAAGGGGTGACTAATACCAGGCCACTGTGTCCAATTCGTATTTTTATTTATATATGAATTAAATCATGCTTTCAAATAAAATTTAAAAAAAATGAGCATAGGGTTCGAGCTCAAGCAATTGCATTGTTCTATTCAAACTCTTTGTTTCACCCGTTTTTGATTTCCATAGTTCTCACAGCTGAGGGGCGTTTAACACAGGTACGCAGTAAAAGATAAAAAAGCCTTTTAAAAAGTTGATTGCACAATACATAACTGTTAACTCAATTATATCATCTGCTAATGCTAAATCTCAAAGGGGACACTTGCAAGAGCTGTGCTCCCCAGCCTGAACACAAGAAAAGTTCAGACTACTTCTACCCCCCTATGATATACGCCAATAATGCTACTATACTGCTTGTATAGTAGTAGCCGCATACTTGCATATGACATCTTTAATAATGAATATAAATATTTATTAGATGTTTAAGTGATGTTGTAGATTTCAAGAGTATTGGGAACATGCATCTGCTCCGAAAACACCATTAGCAACCTTTAGCTATAGCATTTTTTTCTGCTCCGAAGACACTCAAGGCTGCTCCAAAGCACCATTTTTTCTGCTCCAGAATCTGCTCCAAAAAGCAAAATGTCGCTTCCATCACTGCATTTGATTCCTGATAACAATATAATTGTTGGAGTTTGACATCCCAAAACTGACGCATGATTATAAATGAAGGGAAGAAGTGTACATTTAAGGGCTTGTTTAATTTGTTCGACACAATATCAATGACTTTCAACAGACAATCATGCTAAGTATAGGGGATGTTGTGTGAGGTAATTGTAATGTAACTGTGAACTAATCTTTGTAACAATGCTCCTACAGGACGGATCCCAAAATTTTTTGCGGTGGTAAATTCAGTAGGCAATAAGCTCCTTTAGGGAATGCATTCCATGGCTACTTGATTAAAGTTTTGCAGGGCCCCTTTGAGGTGTTTCCCATTGCCCAATGTTTAACATGTGTAGTGTTCCGACAGTTTTTTTTTTTTTTTTCGATGTAGCTGTAAAGTTTTCATGCGCCGACATTGCGATGATTGAAAATAGTTCGAGGTGAAGGATAAATCGGTTAACCTGGGTTAAATATAGTTGGGTTCGCCTGTACTAGCGGAGTCACCATGCAGTTAAATGCACGTCCCTGTTCTGTGTCATGTCGAAGTTTCAATATTTGCTATGAAAGAAAGGGGGGAATCTGTTGAGGGGGCCGTTCATTTCAAACTGCCATCTCAAGGCAGATAGGTAGCTTCAACAGTTCGGGCATGGGCATTGGCAGAGAGGTACAAAAGGGGCGATTGCCCCCCTGGAAGCCACAGCAGCACTCCCCGCTCTCCCCAAGTAAGACCATCACTGCCGCCCCCCACCCCCGCACCATACCCCATTAATGTAAGTCCCGATACAACACAGGTTTGCACCCTCTAGGCAAAATTCTGCCGACGCCAATGAGTTCGGACTCACGTGAGTGAGTGAGTGAGTGAATGAACTTTATTTGGTCCGGCAAAACTCGAGAAAACGGGCACCTGGCTAATCCCACGACGGAACCGACAGGTCTAGCCTGCCGGCTCGATCACGACGGGCACGCTGGACAGCCAAAATTTGATCTTCGAAGACGGAACTTCGCAGGAGCGTGTCCCACTTTTCCTTGCTGAACGTCGGGCCCAGCGACCCGCACTGCCAGAGCTCGTGAGGCAAGGTATAGCAACCTCGCCACCAGCCGCCCAAGAACTATTTGTGTAAGTGTACACGTGACTTGAAGCAGAAACATCATGACGTCATGTCGTCGCCGTAGAATTCGAGTGAAAGGCTAGTTTATGTCTGTCGTTGCATTAGTTTGCTAATCTGGTTGGCCCGTGTTGCTAAGGGGGAGGAAGGGTTCACGCGTGCGTATGCCGTGTCGCTTCGCTACTACTGCTGCTGCTACAGAATAGGCAGCGAAGGCGTATGAGACCTGCGTGTCGCGCCATCTCTCGCACGTTACGAGTCATGCGATATTCGAAAGCCATGCAGTCACTGTCCGTGCTTCGTGCTATAACCGTGAATTTTGTTCAGACCTGTGGTTCTTTTCTCGTCTTCCCTACCTTTCTTAAAGTTATCTCCTCCTCGCCATCTATTTATTATACCCGGTGTTACACGGGTATTTTCAGTAGCGATCAGTGCCGCTCCGGATTAACCACGATTCGGATTAGGTGCTGCTGCACGGTAACCTTTCATCGCGATCAAACATGACCACGGTGGGCATGACTAGGATCAAGACTTATCTTCATGTGACGATGGATGGATGGATGGATGGATGGATGCTATGAGCGTCCCCTTTATAACGGGGTGGTGACAAGTATGCCACCAGGCTCGGAAAAAAAAAAAAAACTTTTTTTCTTTTTTTTTTTATGTTGGCCTAATGCCTCTACTTCGATAAATTCTATCTTAATGGAAAAAAAGGTAAATTTTCAGCTTAAGTTCTCTGCCATTTACGGCACACTGTCCATATTTTATTTTTCCAATATTTATTTTTGTCCTTTCTCTCTAATTTTCTGCCACCAATACTCTAACCGTCTCTTACTTATTTCAATCGCGGGTGTGTTCAGCTTTCCATTGCTGTCCCTAAAACCCAAGGCTTCCTGTAGGCTCGTGCCCAAACGTACACCTGGGTGGATATCTCCACATTCAATCAGAACATGCTCCGCCGTTTCCTTATCTTTCCCGCAGCATGTGCATTGTTCTTCTTCTTTACTGAATCTTGCTTTATAACTACGCGTTCTAAGGCAACCCGATCTCGCTTCAAACAGTAAAGCGCTTCCCCTTGAATTATCGTAAAATGCCTCCCTCCTTATTTCATTTTTGCCCTTTCGGTAGTTACTCAGAGCCGGTTTTTTCTCCATAGCTGCCATCCAGTAAATCTTCTCCGCCTCCCTGACTTTTCCCTTAACGCTCTTTGTTGACATATGGCTCACAATACCAGCCGTATATTTACTAGTGAGTCTTCTAGTTCTTTTTCTCCACTGTGTGTCCACGCTCTTCCTATACAAATAACGGAACACCTTCTCTGCCCATCTACTCTCCTTCATATTTCTTAGCCTTTCTTCGAACCTTATTTTGCTCTGCGCTTCCCTCGCCTCAAAACCTGCCCACCCCATATCGCCCTTTACAGCCTCGTTTGTCGTCTTCCCGTGAGCACCCAACGCGAGGCGTCCCACAGTCCTTTGATTTACATCCATTCCCGATTGCACCTCTGCCCTCATGCACACCACTGAGTTCCCAAAAGTAAGCCCTGGAACCATTAAGCCCAAACTCCATAAGCGCGAAAATGCACGCGACAGCGACGAGCGACGCTATGAGCGACGAAACAGGGCGTTCGCGCGACGTGTCGCGTGCTCGTTTTCGCGCGATCGCTAGGTTCTCCAGATTTGGAAACCGTCGCTCATCGCCCGGAAGTGCTGGGCTCAAGTAGCCAATAGCGAAAAACCGGCAAAGACGAAGACTACATAGGTGCACGTGACCCTGCCCGAGTCACGTATGCGCAACAAGAAATAACGCAATGTTTATTACGCATGTGCATATAAAAAAGTGCTGCAAGGCAATAATAAACACTTTCCGTTCCATTACACAACAATATATCTTATTTTTAAATTGGAAACC